ATTGCGTGTTTTTTCTTTATCTAAACATGAAAATTATTCTTTTTAACGATTTCATATTTTCGTTGCATGCATGTTATCGAACAAGTGTGAAATAATATACGTTGATTGACTGAATACGTGGTAAATTCAGAGCTAAAAATTATATAGCTTGATTTACTTCCTCTGCTCAATGTACGTACGTTTTTTAAGTGTAGGTTTGTAAATAGATCGATAGATTCTGGAATAAAATCAAGTACAGGAGTAATCAAAATCAAATGTACTGACCTAATTACGGTACAGTAAATGTATACACATTGGTAGCATACACAGATGTATTACACACCGCTAGAATTTCACTTCATTAAGAGACTATCAATAATAAACAAACAAAACTTTGAAGCTAATTATCTTTTTTTTCCTTTCATTAGTACACAATTATATGACATTCACCCGTCAAATATAGATTTTCATACGATATGGTTGAAAGTCCGGGATAAAAAGGATGACAAAGGGACGAAGAAGGGATCCATAACGTTAAGTACGTACTTCCGTGAAGTTTCCGATAAAAATAATGACAATCAGAAGTCATGTATACAATGGATTATTTGTAAACTTGTATTGGTGTACAGCAGGGTGCTCTTATTAGGCTAACACTATTCTAATGACACGCACCAGTATTCAATACCAGGTATGGACAATGGAAGTAAGTAGTAAACCAAATCCAACTGAATACCTCGTCGATTATGTGATTTTCTATTCTATCATTATTTACCTTCAGCGAATAAGGTAATTATCTGATTATGAACAGGATATCTTAAAATACACTGTATGTAAAATGAGAATTAAGAATGCTCTAACTGTTACATGGAACCGTATTCTGGAATACACCCGTCCATCCAGCTGTACACATGGATATCAGAATCTCATCCCTTTTTCACCAAACTGAAGTTTCTCAAGGTATCATTATTTTGGATAACTTAAAAACGCAGTCAAACTGATAAAGGTGATAAACTCAGACTATTTATAAACAGTGATAGAATTTATGCCGCAGTTAGTTCCCTTTCGTTGCGTTGTATAGACAAAACATATAGGGAAATCCTCCGAATAAAATGTATCTTTTTAAAAGTTGAATGCATTTGGACACGCTGCATCGGACAGTGACGCAATGATGCATGATGTACATGTACCATAGATCAACGTCAGCTGGGTGATTGAGCCGCCATGATGGCGATAGTTAGCCGTAAATCTGACGAACGACTTAGGATCGACCTCTCCTCCTTGGGGCATACCTTACAAACCTCACATCATGTCAAATGTACATAGCAAGAAATATTCCTCAAACACTTCCGTGTATAAATCATAAACCTCTTCCGGGTTTATTTATATAATCACTTGGAACGCTTTTCTTTGCACTGATTTTAGCTCACGATTTCGAATAATAATAAGCTAATACTGTATCTTTGATGTACACCAGACAAAACATTAAAAATCAACAAGAACGCACCCTTACATTTATTGTCTATCATTTTTTTCCCAAATCTAACCGTGGTTTTAACTATTTATTTTGCACCATAACTGAATTGAAATATTTGGCGCGGTTTGGATTTTTTTTTTAACTGTGCCATGATATTAAGACTCCAAAAACATTCATCCAATAAAAGTGTCGTTTGGCATGTGGTCAGTTTGAGGTCTACGTTTTAAATAATGGGGATAGACCTACCATGCTAAAACTGCTTAATCTATTATAGCATTTTACTATGTTTGTAACATTTGTTTTTTATCAAAGCTAACCTTTCAGTTTTCAGGTCACCTTTTAAATTGATCCCATATGCAGTGATTGATTTTGTATAATGAATCGTTATCACGAGGACCGAATGAATCTTTTATTTTTTTTAAATTACAGGAAAACGTGATGTAGTCACGTTCAGTTGTCTACCACAGAAGGGAAATAACTCCTGCGGAGACCAACAGAACTATGTTGTTAAGATAAGATTTTATTATTAAGTTATAACCGAAACAAATTAGACTTGAGCACAATAGGTTTGCACTCCGTCCGTCTTTCCATTCGAGAAGTGTGTACGAGACATATCTTCTACACTATTTCACCTGGTGTAATCAGATTTGGTGGATTTGGTGTACAAGGACATTTGCGGATGGCGGAGTGCAGAGTGCAAGAAAGCCACTATTACCTCACTGTGACCCATGCTTTGACCTTTAACCTTACCTATTAAAAATATGTTTGTCCGGGGCATATATTCTCTACTATTTCACCTGGAGTAACCAGATTTGATGTACAAGAACATCTTGGGATGGCAGAATGCTGAGTGACAGAATTAGGTCACTGTGACCTATGTCTTGACCTTTGACCTTTACTTTCGTAAATATTTGTCCGGGGCATATCTTCTATACTATTTCACATGGAGTAACCAGATTTGTTGTACAGGGACATCTTGGGATGGTGGAGTGAAAAACGTATGTATCAGGATACTTTCCTGACAGTAGGTACATCCTGACATAAGTGTACTGTTTGTTAAATATAGAAACAATTACCGGTGGGCGACTATCAATTGCCTGGCAATACTTTGCCTTGTTTATATTTTGAATTGGATCGAAAAATAGCAACTCATGGTCAGGGCCGTAATGATCATTTGTATAAAGTTTATAAAATTCACCAGATGGAAATGACGAAGTCGAAAATGCATCGACCAACGATTCAGAGGCAACTTGGATTCAAATCAACCCAAAAAGATAACAGGTGATCTTGTCTAACATTAGCCTACTAGTCATCTCACATCCTTAATTGAGCCATTCCATATGCTCCACACATACAGAACCAACCCCCTATCATACAGGGAAACTCAATGCCAAAAACTGTCGAAGCTATTCTATTTTTAGATATATTTTAAAAGAAAGGCAATAAACGAGAGGTCCAACGGGCCTGTATCGTTCAACTGAATATTGTACTCCTACAACATAAAGAGATCGTTGTTCGGTTATTTCATCGGACATGATAGCGCCGACATTTAAGCAATCAAGGTCCCAGGGATAGGGCCAGTCCCCTAGGCCAATCCTGGTAGCAGATGTATCCAAATCTTCACGTTCAGCAATTGCATACATTGTAATAGGATAGGAATCTTGGATGTTTTAATGTGATGACCCTTAAGGGTAGGAGTCAATTCTAATATTATGACTGTTCATCTCTGTATGCCTAGCAATTGTATATATTATATATACTGAACAAAAAAAGAAACGCACAATCAAATTATGCAATCAATTGCCTATGATATTTTGGGAAATTTGTACAAAATTTTATATCAATATGAAGGGACAAGTCTACTCTTGACAATACTGTAGAAGAAAAGTCTGTGTGACGTCACTCGTGTCATCAGTAGTAACAAAATGACACTTCAGTACCTGGTGTGGGCACCTTTTGCACGAATCCCTGTACGGATTCTCCTACGCATTGAATTCATGAGAACATTTATTCGCCTTTAGGGAATGTTGTTCCATTCTTGTGTTAATGCTGCAATCAACTGGGCGCGGTTAGTTTTTTTTTTTTTTTACGTTTCCTAATACGCCTGATCCCACAGATGCTCAATGGGAGACATGTCGGGGCTATATGGGGGCTATTTCAGAGGCTGAACGTTGTTTGCCGTGAGAAAATCACGACAGACTCTGGCAACATGCGGTCGAGCATTGTCTTGCTGGAAAATTGGGTTATGACGTCTTAGAAGTGGAAGGACATGAGGTTGGAGGATCTGGTCTCTGTATCGAACGACATGAGGTTTTGATCCAGGACCACTAAGGGGGATTTTACTCCATGGGAGATGCCTCCCCAAACCATTACAGAAGCCCCACCGAATCTATCGCGTTCAACCACGCATGCGTTGGCGAAACGCTCACCGCGTCTGCGATATACCCTTTTTCTTCCGTCTGAGCGATACAGACAGAATCTAGACTCGTCGTTGAACATCACACGCCTCTATCGACGCATCCCTAACCTATTCGGGCCATGTCTGCGCATCCAGTCAAGACGCACTTGCCGCCTCCGTGGTGTCAGAGGTGGCCCAACATAAGGTCGGCGCGCAATGATTCCCTCTGCACGCAAGCGGTTCCTGGCAGTTTGAGGACTAATGGGTCTGCCATGAGTACCTAAGGTATGCGACGCAGTCTTGAATCTGTTGCGCAAGTGCGACAATCGAATCGCCCGGTCTTGTCGTGCGGTCGTTACACGCGGATGACCGCTCCTGAAACTAACCCAGTAGCACGGAAACGTGTACAGAGACGGTTAATTGTACCCGGGCCAACACCAAACTGGCGTGCGACAGCAGTTTGGCTATGACCATCCATCAACATCGCAATTTGTTTGAAAAACTCCGGCTTGGCTTGATCACGCCGCGTGATTTGGACTAAAGCTCACAAAGTCACACAATGACATCGTCACGCTTGGTTGATTTTAGGGTAGATTGTTGAGAAGGGAGATCGTTCTTGATGTAATATCTGACCAAATATTCCATTATTTCCTTACAGCTAAGGTGTACTGCAGGGGGGAAACTTTGTGCGTTTTTTGTTGTTGAGTATAGTTATGGGCTAGGAGCTCAAATGTTTTCCAAGTTGTGACCCAGAACAAAACAAGTCCATATCCCCCCCCCCCCAGAATGCTTACAACCAAATATGGTTGATATTCAGATCATCTCTTAAATCTAGAGGTTGCTTAAATCCATATGACCAAAGTGCCCTTTTTTGGCTCTGCCTCTCCATTTGAACAGTTTTAAATCCTCACCACCTCCACTCAAATAAGAAGGCGTTTGAAGAAAATGATGACGGTTGGATGACGGAGGCCTCAGTATGGCATAAGCTCATCTCAATTCTTCTGACCAGCTGAGTGAAAAACTAAATTGAAGAATACAAGATAGTTATATATCTGTTTATACAGTCGGCCTAATAAGTTTTTCAAACAAGAAAGAGAGGCATCTCAATGTCACTGGATAGTTTATAAAAAAGAAAAACAACACATAATATTTATATTTCATGTTATTCCTTTTTAATAAGTTTCATCGAAAAATATCTTAAAGTATTCAAAGGTTTAAAATCTGAACAAATAAATAACTACTAGTATGTTTGATCTAGGTTTTTTAACACAGTGGGGATGAAGAAACAAAAACAAAAAAGAGTTTGGTCTAAAATTAAAATTACTTGAATCATAATATGATAATGAAAAGACAACTTAAAACTAAATAAAACTAGTTTTATTTCTATCAAACACTGCAGATAATTGTTTGTAATGTTTTCATGTTTTTCAAAATGAAAAAAGTAGATAAAATTATGCAGGGGAATAAATGCATGAAAAATGGTTAACTGGTGTTAATAGGGTTCTTACATAGATATTACTTCCAAATGTTGTTGTTATTTGTCCAAGACGCTAGCAGCTGAAGAAGGTCAATTTGTTTTTGCCAGTGACCTAAATTGCAAGTAAATAGACAATCATTTTAGTTTGAATATTTATTCTACCAAAATAATAACATACTATCTACTGGTACTAACGTAACCAGTGTATATTCAAATGGCTGAGACGCTTTTAGGATCAGATAAAGGACACAAAATGACCATTATAAGCTTTAGCAGATTATTGATGCCTTACATTTAGCTACAACCTATCATTGTCTTTTACAGTTAATTAGAGCAGTAGGAATACACTATTGTCTTCTATTTGGCCTTAATCAGCCCACCTCTGTCAAACTGCAGGTAATTTATCAAGACTTTTTATTTCCAAGCACTAATTTATCCGAACATTTTTTTTACAACAAATCATATCATAAAAAGAAAAAAGGCAACTTGATGAACATAGTATTACACCATACATGTACATTAACTTCACCAATGTAAAACACAATACATAAAGGTCATATCTAGATGATCTTTTTTATCAACCAAATAAAGACTAGCTTTCTAATAAACAATACTCAAATCTAGCCTTCGGTACAGGCACCTGGCAGTGGCTCTTACCATGTGTAAAAATTAGATCTTAAAATATGTCACAGAAACATGTGAAAGTAATTGATTTCGCACACAAGTTATAATGAACAAATACCAATATCTAATTAATTCCAAAGAAAATGACATCAAAATAATTCTATTCATATTGTGCCAAATTTCCCGACCCTAAGTAATATTTGGGAGTGAACATGAGAAGACTAGATATACAAAGACAATATTTGCAATGCCTTCAAATGTTCGGAGCATTCCTTGCTTCAATAATAACACTTTAGCTTCAAATAGTTCTTTGAATGCAAATTCTCCCCTAAATTCTAGCTAAATAGAGAATAACAAAATGTACTAATTGTCTTCTTCATAAAAAAATATTCATAAATGATGACAGTTCTAAAACACATGAAATTCAACAGAGCACTAATAATCATGCCTATTACTACTGACAAATAAACTAAAACACAACACACATTTAAAACGGACAGATGATCTACAATGTACCACAAACAAAACAAATTCCTTTACTTCTATGCTGAGAAGTAGCTATATTCAGCAAACTTCTTGAAAAAGGAAAGAAAAATAATAAAACAAATGTTTTCAATCTCAGATAATACATGTAATTTTAATATAACTCAATTCACAAAACATTTGAAATGAGGGCAATGAAAAATGTTAACCAACAAAAAAGGGCCGAGCAATGTGATTCCACATCTTCCACCTTACATGGAGAAAATAAGTTGACAGAATTATTTGAGGTATATAAATAAGCTTATAGTAAATATCAGTCAGGTTGACTATAATATCTGACTACTTTATATATCGTTATCCAACCAAAACATTAAAAGAAATGGACCATTCTAAGTCGGCTGTCTCTGAAAATGAGAGTTTATACTTGTGACAGTGTTGTATAGTTATAAGACTAAGAGGACAGTTTTTCTTTTAAATAATGGGAAGTATTAGGAACAAGATTATGTGTTCATAAAGTTTGTAGTTTTGTTGTGTAACCCATGCTGAATAAGAGTCAAGTTGTCTGTGATAGTCAAATGCTAGGAGGTACTTTTGGTCTACAGGATAGTTAAGCTACAAGCAAACTAATTTTCAGTACCAAAGTATTTTTTATCCAACATTGCTGTTGTAATGATTAAACCAAACTGTAAAGGCGTGATACAGGTCAGACATAAATTTCTTCCTGTTCCAACTTGACAAAATATCCAAAGGCTTAGAAGATGTGATTCAGATTTTAAAGTAGCATTAGTACTGTAGAACAAGTGTTTTGTGTTTCACTCAGGTATAACTCAATCTTACTCCATTTTACATGCTTCTGGTACTCAAGAAATCTCATATTGACAATATTAAATAAACTGAAACTGTGTTTGTAACGTAGTATTACAATCATTATAATATAATCAGAAAATGGAAAAATTAATGCTCATCAGCCATGCATTTATCGAAATACAAAAGTAAGGAGGGCTAAAAATAATTAACATAGTATTACAATTATAATCAGAAAATGGAAAAAGTAATGCTCATCAGTCATGCAATTATCGAAATACAAAAGTAAGGAGGGCTAACAAGAATTCCTTAGGTAACTACTAACCACAAACCGACTCCAAAGGCAGCTATTTTGGAATGTTTTCTTAACAGACTTGGACATTTTGATAACAATTTTGGAATGGCAGGAGATTTTCACCTGTGACCATCTCCAAAAACAACATGAATTATATTGAATTTGATAAAATTTCAAATATCATTGTGAATAACTTATTTTGATGGCACTATCACACAATGCAAGTTTCATAATTGAAGTTGATAATATTTTTATTGTTATTCAAAGCAGTGTGCATTAAACTCACCATAAGACCATAGAAGTCCAGGGAAATACTTTGGGCTGTGACCCAAAAACAAAAATACTTTACACTACAAGTCAAAATGAATCTAAACTGTAAAGGCAGTGTATCTCAAAAAATAATTTGAAAGAAAGTATTTCCCCTCTCTCTGTGTAAAATTGAAAAATCATGTCTTCAACTTGCAGAAATGATGATTTTGTATTCCGAGTAATTCAAAATGGATATTTTAATGCTAAATGATTTTAATCTTTACTTTTCCTGGCCCATTTTTCGAGAATGTAATACAGCATGCAGATGTTTTATTTACTTTTTATTTTTGTAATTAGCTAGGGTCCTGATCATGAATTCAAATTTTTAAATATATATCAGCTAAAAACACAAGTAGCAGTACTTCGGAAACAAAACATTTTAAAAAGGACCTCAGAAAAGGAACTAACTTCATAGATTTCGGCATCCACCATTTTGATAGCTATTTTGATGATAGAACTTGGCAATGGCATGAAAAAACACATATGGCAGTGCCTGAGAAACCGAAGATTAATCTTATTTTTTTTAGCAACAGTAAAATGTATGACAAGACAACAGTTTTAAAAATAAGTTTGGCACCGTTAGGATCGTTGTCTCAAACACTTTCTCTAATAACGATACATCACTCTCATTTCTCTCTCTCACCACCATATCACAATTGTCCTTTATTTATTCAACTTGTTTATTTCTGTGTTCAATCTTCAATTTTCCGTCGCCTCCTCAGGAATTTTTTCAGATTCCACTCAGTGTGGTTCAGCATTGATGGCCCGTTGTACACACAAAGAACTGTCATGTTGTCTGCATACAGAAGGTCAGGCAGTAGCTGAAACAATCAATCAAATATTTGGTGTTAAACTTCAGTTGTAGTTTAGCTGAAAGTATACACTGCGCATGCAGAATCTATGAAGTTGAATTATTTTAGCTTTGACCATGTACAATGAAGGTGCTCACATCACAAGATGTGTAAAATGGGAGTAACTTTAGGGGCTATTTACTTCGTCATTAATTAATTTAATATGTTAATCGATAAATTAATGATATGACTAGTATTAAAGAAATATTGAACGATTTTTTTTTTTTTCAATTTTTCTTTTCTTTTATACGACATACAGATATCTCAGTAAGTTTTGAAATAGGTGGTTGACTTGAAAAAGAACAGCAGGTTGAGTGTTCAAATGCTGTAATTTTGACCTGTACATATTCAGAACAAAATATCTGATTCAAAGTTGATGAATAGCAGGCCAAGTATTAAGCCAGAAACAGACTTTTTTATGTACTCATATCAACAAAGTATATATCTGTCTGCACAGCACTGATTATATTTAATACAATAGTTATAAGGTTCAAATATAGCATCTACAAATGGCTGTATGAAAACAGCAAGACGAATAACAAGAAAACATTATGTTCCCAAAGAAAGGTTTGTTTTTCTGCAACAACAAAGTTGCAGTTCAAAGTCATACCAAATTTATTTCTTCTGAATATGTAATAGTAAGTGGATAGATAATTCCTCGCACATGGATCATAAATTTGGGTAAAATTCTTGGCAGAGCCAAAGGTACTCCAACAATGTTAGAGACTTTACACGGCGAAAAACTTTTGACAGGCGCCGCGTAACCTCTAACTTCCCATAGCTTATTTTCCCGATGCTGACGATCACATTTTCAAAGTTCGGATTAAGAAAGAATGTATCGTTTTTACATACATTTAAATGGTCAAAAGGTTCCAATAAATATTCCTTTCCATAAATCCATGATTATATGAGAAGTAACTTCGTGTCAAAGACATAAATAATGAGTTTTTCCTCATTCGAAGCGAAGCAGACAGCATTTGCAATGATTTTTCCGGTTAATACAAAAATGGATTACATGTAATGTTTCAAACGCGGAATACAAACAAACTCCGTATCATTTCGTTCCGTTTGAAATCCCCTCTGCTATTTTGTATTAGTACAGGAAGCCATGTTTTAAATGTAGGTCAGAGATGTGCTACAACGACATGGACATGTATTTTGAGTGTTCTATTCCGTAATATACTATATATTTGTGTCTGTGACATACATATGAGATCTATATTATATAAACCGGGAGTAGACATCGTTGTCANTTTGACATATTTTTCTCTGTGACCTTGTACGTAGGTCAAGGTCATTTTCCTTCTCAAACTTTGTTGGCTCTATCCAAAGAAGCTACCAGCCAAAGCTTATGAATCCATTCCTTTTGGTTCTTCAGAAAAAATCGTTTGAAATGTTGTTGACCTCTGTGACTTTACAGTAGGTTGAGGTCATTTTCATTAGCACACATTGGTGAGCTCTATACCAAGAAGGGTCCGTTTTTATCTATTTTTTTACTAGTCGAAAATCAAAAATATATTATCATGCGTATCGATACATAATTGTATTTGATCATTGATTTTGGTTTCCTCGGACATAATTAAAATACTTTGTAGCTGTAAACTATGATACACTGACTGACTCCTTAATTCAGTCAGATAATATGCAGTTTAAACCTCAGAATGATTAAAGCTGTTACAAAGATGTGTCCAGTTTCATTATTCATTTCTTTTATTTCCTAATGCTGAAAATTGAATGACATTTCTTTAAATCATTGGATTGACTCTCACGTAAAAGACCAACTTAATTTAAATATCATACTGCTTCTGTATCGTCAAATTTAGACGTCTGAACCAATAAGTAATAGTTGATAAAACCAATCATTATTTGCTAAAAGAAAAAAAGGTACCCTTAGCAACTTTTGCTAAAAGAATGTTTGGTCTAGAGTGAGCACAGACTTGCCCTTAGGGCAGGTGAGCTAAAAACCTCATCAGTGCTGTTCAATTATCATGCTACTGACCTAATTTGAAACTGCAAATTTAACTATGCACAATTTTGTATTTTTCAAATTACTGGTATTGCAAAAAATGAAAAATCCAATGTACTAAGTCAGTATATGGCACCAATATCTCAAAATATTATCAATACAAACAGAAAATGTGCAAAAATTATATGTAAGTACATTGTTATGTGAATGAATTTACCTTTGGAGTGAGCAGGAAATACTGTGATGAGGACTTCTTGCAAACAGTCTGTACCACAAGTTCAAACACTTTCCTCTCGTTGACAGGATCCATGCCCTAAAATCACAGATTACAAATCCACATGTAAAACTTTTTCACAATACATTAGCTATCATTAGATGATTATTTTTTTATTATCATCTTTATTGCAGAGAAAAAATACCATGAATCACATACCAGCCTTCATCACAATTGTCAAACTAGACAAATTTAACTCAAGATAGGGGCTGCCACTTTGTGGATAGGCCAGCACCAAACGTTTTTATGTAAAACAATACAAAAATAGAGACAGTGGTGAATCAGTTTGGTACAGAACAACCCTTGACCATGATGTATATGATACTTGTGTAAGCCCACCAAGTTTGATCAATCTACTCGAATCTTTGAGATGTGCTCCAAAGTCCTTCAGGTCACGATCAAAGGTCAAACTACGGGGTTACGGTTCTCTCGTTTCAGTACTCAAAACTGCCTTACCATGATGCAGCTACACACCAGTGACTGAGATCTGCTCTGGAAACCTGTGTTTCAGTCCTTGAGGTCAAGGTCACAAGGTCAAATGCAAGTTGCAGTGTTACTTCACATGATGTACTGGCATACCAAGTCTAGACATTACATAAACCAGCAACTGAGATACGATCTTGTATTTCAGTAATTCTGATCAAGGTCTTGGGTCAAATAGAGCTCACAGCTGGCTGAGATATGATCTTTTATTTCAGTACTTGAGATCAAGGTCTTAGGTCAAATAGAGCTCACTGACTGAGATATGATCTTGTATTTCAGTACTTGAGATCAAGGTCTTGGGTCAAATAGAACTCACTGGCTGAGATATAATCTTTTATTTCAGTACCTGAGATCAAGGTCTTAGGTCAAATAGAGCTCACAGCTGACTGAGATATGATCTTTTATTTCAGTACTTGAGATCAAGGTCTTGGGTCAAATAGAACTCACTGACTGAGATATAATCTTTTATTTCAGTACTTGAGATCAATGTCTTAGGTCAAATATTGATCACAATGTTCCCATAAGTTAACCGTCTTATAAATTTTGAAAAGTTGATCAGTTAATTACCCAAGATTTGAGCAGATATTGCAAAATCCAAATAAGATTTTATTCAGTGAACATATTAAGTTTTCAAAATATTTAATCTTCTTAAAGGTTTTGAGTGTATTTTGTTACTAATTACTCAAAGTTTTGAGGGGATATTGCATGCACACACGTTATCTCAGCCATAATACTTTCCGTATCAGATGGACATATAAAAAGATTCAAATATTACATTGCAGATTCCGAATTTGGTACCAAGAAATAAGGAAGTCAGTGTAGATTCTCGACTCTACCTGGTTGATTTCGTCCACACATCTGAAGGGACACTTCGCCAGCTCCTGTAGTGCCATCATGTAGAGAACGGTGGCCACACTCCTCTCCCCACCAGACTGATGGTGTGGGGTCAGTTCTCGCAGACTCTCAGCATCACGGAACTTCACCTTTATCTTCACCCCATACTTCTCATAGTCTTCCTGCAAAATAACAATTCACATAGTTTCAATAAATATTTAATCACAAACTTAATGTAAGTAATAATTCTGTTTAGGCAAATACCACTTTCACTCTTTCCTGTAAAATTTAATTTATTTATTTAATTATTTTACTCTCTTCTGTAAATCATAAATCACTCAATGCCTTTAAGAAGTATTTCCCATTTTCTGTAATTAAATGCCTTTAAGAAGTATTTCCCATTTTCTGTAATTAAATGCCTTTAAGAAGTATTTCCCATTTTCTGTAATTAAATGCCTTTAAGAAGTATTTCCCATTTTCTGTAATTAAATGCCTTTAAGAGGTATTTCCCATTTTCTTTAATTAAATGCCTTTTAGAAGTATTTCCCATTTTCTGTAATTAAATGTCTTTAAGAAGTATTTCACATTTTCTGTAAATTATCAATCATAATACTGTTACACATATAGTTAACAGAAATTGGGGGTGGTTGGGTGGCGCAGTGGATAGAGCACTTGCCATTCACCAAGGCAGCCAGGTTTGATTTCCCGATCGGACTTGAAAGGGTATGGGGTCACCTGTCCGACCACGTTGATTTTCTCCGGGTACCCAAGTTTCTTTCCAAATTAAGACCCACTGTTTGCTTTCATCCAGGCCCACAAGTGTGATTAATATAAATTGAATTAATTTGTTTCATAACATTTGTGAAAAAAAGTGTTTATTTACAGCCACGTACTATACTATGCACTGTTTGTGAAAAGATGTATATCTTGGCAGGACTATTAACACTGTTTACATTTTTTGAAACAATTATAAAAGGTAATTTATCTTCTACATACATATATATCAAAATATTCTTTTCAGCCTCCCTTGACTCTGATTTTTACCTGGTTCTCTGGTTGGTGGAGTTCTATCTCCCCAGCACAGTTCATACAGGAGAAGAAGTAACTGAAGTTGTCATTGATTGTGTCTATAAGACCCTTGAGTGGCTCGAGCCACTGCTGTTTGGCTCGTTCAATCTCCTCCTGATGGCCTGCCATGGTACGTCGTCGCTTCTCCAGCTCGGCCTCAAGGGCAGCAATCTCTTTTTTACGAGCCTCATACTCCTTCACGATCTGCACACGTAAATTGAATTTTGTACATAAATATCAACATTCAAAATTTGAGAACCCAGTTTTCAGATGACTAGTTTTAAGTTTAACCTTAATTGTTATTAGGAGGCTAACTGATACCCTCACATAATCCCTATTACCACTATAGTTGTCAGTCTTAAACTCTCTATTTCAATTTAATGATTGAGGATAATATATGTAGATTAATATCATTGCAGTAATTTTTTATGCAAATTTGGACTGCATGAAGATAGAAAGTGATTAAGTTCACCATCAAATCACGCCCTTGCATGATAATAATACAATTCTATTTATAACAAATCCCTATCCTACACCCCTGGGCATGAAAGAGTCTGACAATTTCCAAATAATCTTAAAAGCTTACACACAACTCTCTATTCCAATTCAACAAGAGGAAAACACACTGTTCTGTAAGGACACTGATAATAGTTCTAGTTCTAACACATTTGGACTTTTTTCTCTCGTTCCATTACAGATTTTGTTTAATACTCACACTTTTATCTGCCTGGAACAGTGAATCAGCTCGTGCCTGTTCCTCGTGAATCATTGCGTCAATCTCATCTAGTGTGGCAGGATACTGCTCAAACCTCTGAAAATCCACTATCTTATAAGCATATGTTTAGTTAAGCATTAAAAAGAATTCCGTTCATAGTTATAATCTTATAATTCGAAACAGAATTGCAGATAAATTTAATTCATCTGACACACACTTACTCAGCATTATGCCAAGGGCCGCTATCTAGAAATATATTATTTGTTATACAACATCCACCATAAATTCATTGTTGGTAAATACATATGCAAGACCACACACTTGTGTTTTTCTAACAAATCAGAAAGCACTCATTTATTGCACGGACGAATATGTGCTTTCTGATTCGTTAGAAAAAAAACCACAAGTGTGTGGTCTTGCTTTTATCACATACCTTCCGTATTTGATATTTTTTGCAATTACCGGGAACTTTTCAGTTTGACATGACAAGGGGATTCTCATAAAAAAATAGTTCCGGCTAGTAGGTAAATACAACATTCCGTATTGCATATGTGCAAAACAGAACGTTGCATTTCATGGTCTGAAAATTGCTTGTATTACTATAACAAGATTCAACAGGTATGTGATAAAAAGCTGTATTTGCTATAGATTCCTAAGTGGTCTCACACTGGTGTACATGCATTATACCTTTAGGCCAAAATAAATTGATAACTTGGTTCTCAGGCCCGCGCGCATTTCATGGCACCGTGCGCATTGCCGATTTTATCGTGAAAGTAATAAAATAAAAATCATCAATGCGCCAGCCGCCATCTTTGAAAAAAATCGGAAAATTGGTCCGCATGTCGTTTTTACTCGTTAGTCACCCTAGTCCCGAAAACGTTTGAATAAAGATAAGGATTGAGATACAGGCAAGCGTTAAAATGATTATGTCTTATTAGTCTTGTGTACAAATGGCGCTCATGTACAAATAAGGAATGGGGGGTTCGCGAATCTCATCTTGAACATCGTGGGGATTTTCGGAGGCTTGCTCTATGATGGGTCTCTACACAACTATAAAAAGACAAGGTAACGCCCACAATAAACGTTTTACAAACTACACAATAAAAAAAAAAAATCGCCCTCGTCTCGTTTTTGCCATGTAAAATGAAATAAAAAAATACCACCCTGCTGCATCTATTTTGAAAAAAATTGGCCTGAGAACCAAGTAATTAATTTTATTTGGCCTTACTAAAACAACTTTTCAGAGAGCAATGTTTAAACAATATCTTGTGGTTCTTGAGAAGAGGTTAAAAGAAAAGAAATAGATGGATGGCAACAGATCTAGATTAAAAGATTTGAGATCAATCAAGTCCTTTCGGAGAAATAATAAGAATCTTTAACTTGTCAAAATCAATTTTTGATTTGGGGAAAGCCTGTCAAGAACTTCTTGAAAAATAGCAATTAAAAGTATTGTTTAAGAATAACAATGGCTGAAAGGCAATTTGAACAACCCACCATCTTTTTATGATGGCGGGCCTAAAATTCACAGCTGAATGTAAAACAAGACAACAGAAAGTGTATATTGTGTTTACACTTGTCAGAGGGGGAACAACTCTACCTCACGGAGTTCATTTGAAAGCTCAGCATTGGCAGCCGTTCTGGTAGCACGTTTGGCCAGGTCCAGTAAGTGTTTGGCTGAATCTTTAGTCTGTCGCACCAACAACTTTGCCTCTTCTGCAGATCTCTGCAAATCAGCAAAAAGGAGTCCATGTATTCAATATTGTCCTAATCACATTTAATATCATATCTTTCTGCCAGGTTTTATTAAGAGCCATCAATATAAACCAGGTGTCAGGTTTAGGTTTTGGAATAATAAGTGTGAAAAATCTGGACTGGATATTTTCCCATAATTATCAAACTTACAGAATACAAAATTATAACCTCTGATTTCTCCAAATAACGACTTTAAAATTTCAAAACTTAAACTAAACGAATTTCAAGATAAACCTTATACAGATTTATATATCCATCAGACAAAGAAATTTCTAAATACTGACCTCGAGATTCACCAAATGCTGGGACTGGTCCCTCAATTCCTCTTCAACTATCTCTTGGTCCTTGACAATGGAAGCATGCTGCAGACTTAGCCGCACCTTCCCCATAATCAACTCCAGGCATTTCTACACAAAAAGTCAACTAATGAACACAACTTCACTCAGGAAAAACATCTGGTATGATGTCAGTTTTACCTCTTGAGAAAGCCATGATAAATATAACTCTACACCAGAAATAACGCTACTAACTCTTTCCACTAGTGGGGGAACAAGCTACTTGTAAATACGGCCATCCAATGGATATATACGGTATTGTGAGTTTGATATCACAAGTTTCTCTTTATTGCCATTTTCAACTCATGAAATATCTTCCAAACAGGATAATATAAAAAAGACCCTCTTAAAGTAAATTTGATAGCAAGACGATTAAATATTTCCTTAATTATGAATTAAGATGCCAAGAGTATATTGGCTTTGCAAACATCTCTGACAGTATTCATAAGGATTATCTATCTGAATTATTATAAAATACTTTTTGATATGGTTATAAACACGTCAACTTCTTTAGATGAGTGAGCAGTTAACTGTGAAATACTATGTTTGGAATGCTGAGCACTTCATATTAGCCATCATGAGGAGTTTGCCCTTGTACATCTAGTGAAGAGCAAAACTTATTTCAGCAGCAAGTACATACTTCCCTGCATACAGTTCATATTGAAACTTGTCCCACTTATTTAATCCTGCTGCTTCACAATGCAGCCACATGCCCCGAGAATGATATTAGCTGGATTTTCAAACATCCACTGTACAAACATATACTTTCACTCCTTTTTGTCTGGAGCTAGCTAAACAATGACTTGCCTGTGTGTTTCCCTTCATCAATTGCAGAGATTTACACTTTTTGATATTGATGTCCCTAGTCTTTTTCTTTGTTCGTTCCTTCTCAGCTTGCAAATTGATTGCCTCTGCCTCTTCTGTTTTAATTCTACAATAACAAAAGGTTCATCAGCTGGCATGTACGATCATTTTCTTTTTATATCTGAACTCAGACAAGTTAAAATGTTTTCACTTACTTGAGAACGTGTCGCTATACAAAATATCAGACATTTGTAGAAAGTTTGGTTAAAACTGATCATGTGCTTGAAACGAGGACTAATCCAAATGTTTCTGACAAGTTCTTAACTGCTGCAGATCAGATTTGAAATCATCAATCGGATGGAAGAGTGGTCATTTTTTTTCAAATCAATCCAAAAGATAACAATGCCAGCTCAAGAGAGCATTTGGAGTTTGGTTACTTTGCCTGGCAGAAGTTTAAAAGGCCTTAATTTGCCTCCAGGTAGACATTGAAAATGTTTGAGTCAGTCACTTTTAGAGGAGAAGTGGCCATCTTCAAATGTACATCTTGGTCCGAACCAAAACAACTCCTCTCAAAGCCATAGAGGAGCATTTGCAAAGTTTTGTCAAAATCTATCCAATAGAAAATGGAAGAAATAATCAAATTGAAATCCCTTTTCCTTTTTGGTCCCACCTCTCTATTCCAATGCAAACCCCACACTTCATGAATAAATTGTTTAATTCCCTTGGCCAATGGATGCTCGCGATCCATGCCAAATTAAGTTAAAATCCCTTTAGCAGTTCTGGATTAGAAGTCTTTAAATGAAAAAAAATAAGATGGATAGACCAATGCCCCAGTATAGGCACACCTGGCCCTTTGATCCAACTGAATAAAACAGTATACACTATCATATAAATATTACCTTTGTTTTTTATTTTCAATTTGAGATAGAAGTTTCTTTTTCTGGTCCTTCTTCTGAGTAAGTTGTTTCTGAAAATAATTCGATGATAAAATTCCTTTATTTTTTTTAAAGTTTTTCTAACCAACAAGCATATACTATTTTTTTGCGTTTCTCACGAAAACATTTTATAGTACATGAACCAAAATCTTAAAAACCAGATAACTTTATGTTAGAGTTTTACAGCTGCTTTCAAGAGAAATGTACAAGTGACAGTCGAACTTCTCGTCTTATGCATTATTATTACACAGTACATTTCCCGGCAAAGACCAAAATAGCATAAAAGTCCATTTCCTGGCAAAGACCAAAATAGCATAAAAGACACTCTTTGAGCACTTGCATCTAAAGTAACAAAGAGAACCTGACTAGAGATTTAATTAAAAAGATGAAACTAAATCATCAGCAAAATTGTTCCTAGTTAAAAATTACAATGTTGCCACGCAGGATTTGAACCCTGGACCTTTGGATCAATCATTTTACTGTTGCTCTTACCAAATAAGATATCAAGGCAGTTTTCTTTTATCACGGTCCAAACGGTTGAACCGGTTGGACCAATGTTGTTCGTTTATGAAATAAGGTCGGACCAAGTAATCTGATGTTGCTTTCAGGCGAGCCTTGACAAAGCCTTGCAAGGCCTGCATAAGCTTTTGCAGGTCCGCCAGGATTTATACCCGAAAATGTTACCTTCAAAAACGGACGTACCGGCTGTTCCGCATAAACATACAGACCCTTTGTCTAAGATAGTAAGGGGAGGTTAATCAATGCAGGAAAAACTACAGTGCAGTGAGACTGGGATCCTCATGACACTTATATATAGCTTTTCCACAACCTAGCTGGTAGGTTGTCCCAAGGTGGTTCACAAATTATTATTTGTGGTTATAAGGTGATCATAAATAAACGGTTTACTATCACCAACCTTTTCCTCTCTCAATCGGTTCATCCTCACTTCAAGCTCTTTTGACTGTCGCTGAAGATCTCGGTATTTTTCTTCCTGTTTCTTTAACTCGTCTTGAAATCCCTATTAAGGCAAAAATTATGACAAATTAACAAACCTCTTTCTTGATAACATATATGCTGTAATCTAGAACATCTTTGCAGGAGGAAAATCAAACTCTTTTATTTTGCAAAGCGGAAGCCATACATGTAAAACATTGTACAGATTCCGCACAAACTACCATCTATGAATCAGACCATACAGATATACAATTATGTGTGTATGTATATATGAAGAAATTCAAACAAGGGTTACTAATAATACTGGGGTCAGAATCAACACTTATCAGATCTTACTCGTATCTGAGATTCCAGGTCTTTCTCCCTTGTTGTATCAGCTGATGCAGTCAACCATGTCGGGAATCTGAAAGGAGGTTATTATATTTTATAACACCAGAGAAATATATAGGCAATATTTTACTACAATTTTAATGATCTGACCAATTTTAGACATCCAATTTCTGTGAAAGGTATCAAAAGGAAAGTGATTTGATTGTGACATATCAAATCGCCCACAGTGAAATTGTGTTACTGAAAAAAAGTTTCATCACTTCAGTAACACCTTTATCATTTACAAATTCATAAAAGGAATTATTCCTTGTTTTTTCCTATGAATATTTAACTCATGGAATTAATACATTTTTCCTTAGGTTACCAAGTACAAATGATACAAACCTTATTTTGGAACTTCTTGAAGAAATTGTCCCATCATATCTGGAAACCCGAAATGTATACTGAAAACAGAAACAAATTTAGCTGAATGTTGTATGTTTTATATATATTTATAGTTTCTGATAGCAATTTTCCAGCACAAGCTCATGAAAAGAGAATTTTCCAGAATTTTTAAACTTTTTTAAAATTTAATTTTTCATGCCTATGTTTCCTTTACCAGTGTGGTTACAAATAATTCCTTTGACCTTATGGAACTCATTTTCACTCAATTGCCTTGCATACTTTTGGGTATCCAGGCATGGGGCGACCGCCCAAAATTTTCTTGAGCCAAAACTTTGGCCAAACTTAAATTTTCTTGCGCCAAATTTTATATTTATGAGCCAAATAGTTTAAGATCATTTACAAAGTGCCGCGGTCATAACATAAAGCTGAATCATTTATTTCTATTTAGATATTTTTTTCTGTTTATTGTAGTTTGTATACAACATCACTATTACTCTGTAATCTGGTTGTTTGTTTAACAGGGCTCACACAAAGGAACATTTCTATCTCCACTTAATTTATTATCTCCTGCAATATTTATGTTTTGCACTTCACTACCCCAGTTTTGCAATTGCATGCGACCAGAGTACATGAGTAATGCTCTGTATAAAGTGTGCCTAGAGAACAAAGGGCCAAAACTCTGTATATAGTAGAGCACAAGATCAAATTTTAATGTGGGGCACTCACCATAAAAAAAGGCAATTGCAGGTAAAAGTGATATATGCCTAGAGCATTGTGAGGCACAGACTGGTTTGTGCATATCTCTTATAAGTCTCCTCTAGTATAACCAGTGAGGAACTTATCAAATACCTGATAATCATCAGTAAAAAAGGTGCGCAGCTCTGGGTGGTCTCTCTTGATGTCTTCTATACAGTCTTTGGTTTTCCTGTTGCCAACAGGTATGGCATGTACGTTGTACTGGGCACAAAGGTATCTCATCACCCCTTCTGGGCAGTGCATGTAGTCCCTCAGGTAGCCCTGGAACCCATACTGCCTACACAAATAAGCAAACCAAGTTTCTTTCACTAAGTATTATATATATCAACTTAACTAAATCAAATAATTTTCATTTTCATTTAGACTTTTCTTTAAATTTTAAGATGTTTCCAATGGCCACATTTGCAGTATTATTATGATGGGAAAGTACACTGTAAAACTCAGTTTCGTAAAATGCATATGAAATAATAAACCACATTAATATTTATGGTTCCTGAATGACCATGTTAACTGGTATAGTACACAGTGTAAGTTAACAGTATTGCTAGTGTTGGGAATCACTTGTAAAATCATACTCGATCATCACTTTCAATCAAGTGACTGATGATTGACTAATGATCGATCAAATTTAACTTAAATTCAGTAATTTCAGGTTATATTTGCTTTCTGAAATCTACTTTCACTTTCGTTTCGAGGGAAACCCGACGTTAGAGAATTTCGCTAATAACGCACAACATTCATACAAAAACAATACGTTTGCTGACAGAACCTTATAGTTATTGAAAAATATGTATTTGGAAATGAAATTGATGATGTTTGCAATGTCCATTATGCTGTGATAGCTGCATCTCTTATTCAGAAATTCCTGCGATGGATTGGCATTCACCTGATGACACCCCGACAAACTTAACATTTTATATATATGATAGCCCACACTTACAACAAAGCGTTTTATTTATATCCCGCTTAGGAGGAACAATACCTTCCAAACGTTAAAATCGGTAGCCCCCGGATGATCATAGAGTTTAAATCTCCGGAATGTACTGGTTTGCCATATTGTCACATACTGAATGAGCCATGCAGCATTTCTATTGAAACGCAAATTCTGATTGGTTGACGGGTGGACCAGCTAGCCAATCAGCGTCGTCGTTGTGTGGGACATTAGGTCAAGTTGTTTTGATGAAGAACAAACAACTCGCCGTCTGCGGTAATAACATTGACTATCCAAGGTTTTTTTTTGTTAATACTTTGATTAGTCATACTATAATCGATCATGGAAAACAGATCGATTAATCGGTTTTTTTTAGAAACAAACAACCAGACGTCGACTAAATCGATTAATCAGAACAACACTAAGTATTGCTGAACTCATTCACCCCTGAAGACACATTCAAACTCTCTCAATTCAAAGGTTGGAATAGTTCATTTTGAAATTTCAGGGGTAAATGAGTTAACTTAATATCAATAAAGCATTTTTACCCAGTTCAAGTTTTAACACCTACAATATATAACACACTTTCAATTCGATTATTTATTTATTGTGGTATAATCTAGGGCATGTTAAAGGTTACCAATGTATACGTTTCAGCTATAAATCACAAACAAGAGGCCCAATGGGCCTGCATCGCTCACCTGGTATAAAACTCACACTTGACACAGTTGTAACCTTAAAAGTGATCTAAAATAAAGCTACAGGCAAAATATCAGTATTTATGATTAAAATTCATTCAAAAGACCCTGTTAATTTTTTTTAAAACATTTCACCCCTGTAATTGAAAGTCGAACAAAGTCATTATGTTGAACACATTGTATAGCCTTTCATCTCAGAATGCAACTTGAAAAGTATAAACATCCTGGGACCCATGGTTATTCATAAGAGGTTGTTTAAAGATTTTAAACAAATTTGACCCCTGTGACCTTGAATATAAGTCAAAGTCATTCACTTTAACAAACATAGTAGTCCTTGATCCGAGCATATGCTACTAACTAAATATCAACATCCTGAGCCTTTTGGTTATTCAGAACAAGTTGTTGAAA